TTCTATCACAAAATCTGCTTTCCTAAGTTGAAATATTATTATGTAACCATTATCTTATTAACAAGACCATTTATAAAATTACAGTAATTATATATTTTATACACTAAATGGTATTTATTATTATTATTATATATATATATGTGTGTGTGTGCGTGTGTGTGCGTGTACGTGTGCGTGTGTGTGTGTGTAACATAAAAAGCTTCAAAAGCTGCATAAAAAGCTGCTAATCCATTGGGCTCTGCCCGCGTGGGTTCGAATCCCATCCTCGTCGTGTTATTATAGGGCCGGAATAGCCTGGTCGGTAGGGCGCTGGGCCCATATCCAAGAGGTCGTGGGTTCGATCTTCGCCGGCCGAAGACTCCCCGTGTAGTAAATGGTGACTGATACACGTTAAATCTGTCGAGTCTCAAAGTCCTCCATGTTCCCACAACAAATCAATACCTCTGGGGGTACTGATCCAGGAGTTTCCTTGTCTTCTGGATTGGTTCAAAATTACAAGGCTACGGAGTTGAACGTAAGTAGTCGTAAACCCATGAAATTGGGTCGGCTGTTCAACGACGGTTATAAAATAAAAAATTGATCTTTTTATGTTATCCTAATAAATTATTCTAATCGAAATTCTTTCTCAAACTTTAAAAAGCCACATCCTGTTCTTAAATCTATTTTTGGCTCAAGCATGCATTTAATTAAAAGAAGGACATTTTTCCCTTTACTCTCTGTGAGAAACTATCGACCTATTTCACAAACCAACTACAATTTCTTAGATTTCCCTCTTTCCCTAAATTGAAACATTTTACGGATTTTACTTTGCAAGATTTTCCCTAACATATAACCAAGGAGCGCAACTTTTTGCTTACACTTTTACACACTTTCATGACTGCCTCTGTCTAATAATTAATAAATAAATTTTGTACCCTCCTTCTCGGCCTAAGACCTGTTTTAATATCTCCACTCGGCAACGACGTTATATGTAAGTAAATATTGATAAACNAAAATTTATTTAGTCAAATTCTTCTGCAACTCTGCAATTAATAATTCATCCAGTATCTTCAACAAAAAATAAATTCTTCGATCATCAAACTTTTTGTTTATGTAAATGACGCCCAGTGGAACTTAACGAACATCGACTTTGCATTTGTGTATGCTGCATGTTGTGTTTACATTCTAAAGGTGATAAGCACTACTAGAGAGCTGAGAAAATCTGCATTAGACGTTAAAAAGTTTTCGATTTGAAACCCTCATCCCTTCCGGAAAGCGAAGCATTTTATCGTCGATGAATAATCACACCCCGGAATGGTTTACAACTCAAAGAATCGGCATAAACTTCTCCTTCGCTATCGGTGTTAATTTACGTATTCATCTTAACGAAGAAACAAATTTTTTTCCCTAGGAGCTCTCGATTTTGCTTTTGGAATTGTGTTCAAGGAATTTCGACGTACTTTCATCTATGACGTTGCGGTTTTCAAAATGTGTTCTTGGACTAATTCGAACTTTCTCAAGTATCCTTTGTGTTAATTTTTTTACAAGTCTCATAAAACAATTTCTTGAATTTTTATTGATTTAAAAAATAAAAAATAAATAAAAAAAAAAACACTCTTGTATATGAACAAAAATCATAGATTATTATTTTAAATTTTTTTCATACTTCATGTTTCAATTGAAACAATTTTTGTACATTGATCGTATTTACTGTTGAAATTTTCATTTTCAGTGAATTGATTGTTTCGATTGGCATAAAAAATGTTTGGAAAAATTATTTTCATATTTATTGTTTTATGTGTTACAATTTCTATGATTTATTGATTAGTTGAATTTATATTTTTGTTTTACTGGTGTTTAGGGTTAAGATGAAAATGCCAATTAAAAAAAATTTTTCTCTTCTAAATGAAACTACAATAATTATAGAAATTCAATTTTAATATATGAATGCAATTACGGTGTGGCAGAAATTAAATCAAGAAGTGTTAAACCTAATACAAAAAATTTGGAAAATGAATAAAATACTTGTTAAAATTTGAATTGAAATGTGAAACCCTCCTTCCCGGCCTAAGACCTGTTTTAATCCTTCCACTCGGCAACGACGTTATATATATATATGAAAAAAAAGCAACTATAGGAGTTGATGAGAGGAGTGTGTAGGTGTATAGAGACTTTTACTATAGTAGAAAACCTAATATTTAAGGAAATAAAGCATCGAACGACAAAAAATAGTATAAGTAAATATAGCCTTATTCTTAAAAATTATAAAAGACAATTTTCCGGAAACTATTCAAATCATTTAATTAAGATTCCAAATTTAAGAATTCGAATTAAGTATCTAAGCACTTTTATTTATCAATAAAAACTAATTCAAAGTTATAAAAATTTTCATTACTTAATTTTTTTCGAAAATATTAACTATTTTTTAAATCAAAACACTATTTAACTATAATTTATATTATTTAATTTATTTATCTACATAAAAAATTCTCTGTAGCATTTAAAAATGATGTTTTTCAAAATGAACTTTCAAATAAGAAAAATCATGATGTGGCAATTTGAAAGTCACATTCTTCATTATTTAGTAAACAACTGCAGATTTTAGGAATTACCTAAGAAATAACGCTTTAAAAAAATAAATAGCGCCATCAATTAGAGCTTTAGCGCTTTAAATAAAGCTTTTTTTAAAGAAAAATATATATAAGCCATTAAAAAAGTAATCGCTAGAATAAATGATAATTCTGTCATATTGAAAATAAGTTAAGATATCTGCCTCAGTTATCTGGAATAAAACCAATTTATTTGAAAATTTTATTTGCTGCTGTACGTGCTAACATTTTCTTTTAAAAAAAAACACTTATTTGGTAAAATTTTCTGTTGCATAATCTTATAAAAAATCAGTGCCCTTGCGAAGTTTATTTTTGCGAAGGAAAAAGATTCAACTTGCTTTCAAATTCCCCATTTTTAAAAAACATATTACATAGAATTTAAGAAAAAAAGCTGTGTGGGTGGCCCACGAGATATTTTTCAAGGAAAATAATGCTACACTTTGCTAATAAATCAAATACAGACGCCATATTTTTCAAAAATGTATCCTGAGATATTTAAATACATAATTTCTATTCTAGTGAGTGGTGCGATAAGGTAGAAAAAAATGAACAAAAATATCAGAAACAAAATCTTATGCGACACTATATTATATACAGCTAAATAAGTAGAATTTCAATTATGTATATAAAAAAGATACAAACTAAACATGAATAATTCATCAACACGCATATTGATGTACCAGTTTGTTTTCGTTTTAACCTCCTTATTTTCAAAAAAAAAATTTTTTTTTGAGAAAAATGAAAGAAATATAATAGAAAAGAAATGATCGAATTAAATAAAAATGCTCAATGAGAATATAATGAGCAAGAAATAAAAAAAATATATATAAGTAAAATTTATAAATAACAAAAAAAAAGTCTATACAAGCGTGTTCTTTAATTGCCACTATTACTTTGTAACCAATACCTATAATTACGATACGCATATAATTACAAAATAATGTGCTTGTTGAATAATATTTTCAACGATTACACAATTTTTGTACCAATCTGTCTTCCTTTTTATCTCATTTGTTTTTAAAGAAAAATATACATTTTCAAGAAAAATGATAACAAAAGTACGTCAAAATGGTAAATAAGAAAGTGAGGAAAAGAAATGATGAAAATTAAATAAAAATGAAAAATTTGAATATAATGAGGAAATTATTTAAAAAAAATGTAAACGAGAAAAAATACTCAATTCCGTAATTATCGCAATAAATTTATGCTTTTAGAAACATCTCTAAAATTGACATTTATCGTAAATGTATACAAAATACTTTTTTTAAATCTAAGTGTGAAAACTTTTAATAATTTTTCTTATCTTCTTGATAAGAAAAATTATCATAAATATATATTTGCTCTTAAATGTTTTATATTTTTTAATACAACTCTCCAGATGTATTTTTCATACAAAGTTTATTTTTTTCGGTTTACAAAAAAAATCATGTAACTTGTTTTGAAAATACATAATGCTTTTTACTTTCTTAGTTAAATAATTCATATTTTGTTAAATTAGTTGACATTTCTGTAAATTTTTTATTTTTATTTCTCATGGCAAAAGAAAATGACAAACTCTTACAAAAACAGTGAACAAAAAGGTGAGCAACAAGTAAAATAAAAAAGTCACTATCTCATTAGCAGATGTCGGGCACTCCAGTAGTGCCTCACCTCAGAGTCCCCACGCAGCGCCGAGCATCTCAATAGATGGTTTCTGTTCATCGGGTCATTATTCGAGCATAACGGGCAATTTGGGTCAACGAAATGCCGATGCGGCAGAGGTGGTTCGCCAGGCAATCATGGCCCACCGCAAGTCTGAATTCTGCAACAGCTTTATTATTTCTTTAAAATTCAGGAAATGGATAATTTGATTATTAAGACAGCCGATATTCCTTGAGAGAGAATCCCATCCCAGTATCCATAATTGTAACGAACTTCAGCAAAATTCGCAGCCATTGTTTATTTAAGGATCCAGCTCCCTTTTTTGCGATAAAAACACAGTTCCCGTAATGATAAAAAATTTTAGCAAAATTAGTAGGATTGATCGTTAAACTAAAATGCCAACTTATTTAACTTTTTATCTTAATACGGAGGTCCACACTCGTTTCAGTGTTGGTTACAGTATTAGGCTAAGTATACAGAGGTCCTGGGTAAGATCCAAGCCTTACTTATGAACATGTTTCTCTCTCCACTTCAGTAACCAACTTTCTCGTTCCTCGATAGAGGGCAGCACTCTTTCCCAAGTTTTACGGATTGCCTTGATTCGGAAAACAGATGGCCTAGGTCTCAAATAAAATGAAGGCCGAAACTGAAGATAATAGAATGTTAATTATGTTATCTTCGACATAATAAGGGGAAAACTTAAGTGCAAATCTGTATTTTTATGATCATCAAAGTTATACGGTCATAAACTTATTTTAATAATTAGCTTACCTGATTTCTCTTGAACTCTCTGACAGACATTTCAAATAGCTGAGCATTCTGGACTCCTATCCCACAAAATGTTAAGTATTTTCGAAACACCTGTAAATAATGAGAATAAAATCACTATATCATTGTACAAAAGTAAAATCACTGTAAAAATTGCTTAAAAGTTGAAAAAGGTTACTTTTTTTAAGAAATTTTAGTTTTTTTTAAATTATAATATTTAGTGAAAATTGACAGTATGAAAAAATTCGAACTTATTGATATAGAAGTAAACACTGTAACAAAAGGTATCTCAAAATTAAAATGTGATTATAGTAGCTAAGAAATAAATATAGTCTAATTTGGAAACACCATGTACTCATCGTTAAGTATAGTGGCGGCAAAATAGGAAAGTTTTGATCACCGATCTGTAGATATTCTTTATTCCTGAAATAAAGTTGGTTTAATAACAAGTGCAATGAACTATTATCAAATTAGATATTCTTTTCATATAAGCGATGTGTATCAACGAATAAACTTCGTCACATTTGATGATGTAATGTGTCATTTTTGAGACTATGCAGGTTTGCTCAAAAATAAGTATAAGCTGTTTCAATTTTGAGAATAACACTATACTAAAGTATGAGTAAATAGGTTTTCAAATTCGACTATATTTGTTTCAGCACTATTTTGAAATATTTTTGCTCAATTTTGAGAAACCTTTTTTTTTTCAGTGAAAATGGGTTTCTAATCAGATTATGATAACGTTATGTTACAAAAATGTTAGAAAAAAGAACTCATTTTTTTTCAAACTGGCAGTTTTAGTCAACATAAATACCAAGTACTTTCGAAATTATATAAAAATTAGAGTGTTCGAAGTATTGGACGATTGTTTTGAGCATTACTTTAATATTTTCAAAATAATAGTAGAATTTTTAATTTCGTTCAGAAAAAGTACAGTAACTCAAAAATGTACAAATAATAATTCATTTCGAACAATCGAAGATTAAAATACAATATACAACTGGGAAAGAAATTTATACTGACTGAAATTCATAGCGCAAGTAGTGACTTTGATGACATATGTATTTCTTTACCTGTGTATATTTACAGACATAAGATATGTAAATATTTAATCAGAACAACGACGAAGTACTTATTAAACAACTCAACCCTTTGAAATTTTGACTAAATTTGCCAAGGTATTAGATAGGCCAGATAAACATCAAGAATTTTAAAAGAAAATTTTCTGTAATATCAAGATATTAAAAATACTTCAATATTGCTAAATCCACGAATGGATTAGTATTGACGATATATTAGTATTGACGATAATCGATTATTACTTCGCGCTTTGAACAAAATAGAGATTTGCTTCGAAGTGACCATTTATAAATTAAAATTCATAATGCTGCGGATTTTTGAAGTGTTTTTCCTTGACGACAGCTGACGCATTGTTCGATGACAATTTGAGAATTTTCCTGTATCATCATGTAAATTTATTGGCACGTGTTTTCCCAATCGTATTAAACGATAAACGAATAAAAAATATTGAAATTACGGTCACTTGATTAATACCAGAGGATAGGAATTAAGAAATAAAATAAAATTACTTTAACTCAATTTCTATTTAAGAGTAGCTGAATACCCGTCCTTCGTACGAGGGGAAAACAAAAAGTAAATAATCGATAAATCAGTGTTGAACAACAATCAGCAAAACAATAAAAAATATTAAAATAATTTTAATTTTTCTCATTTATTTTTTATTTCTTGTGCTTTCCGGTGGCTTTGCCTTCTTAGATTAAACAGAATACATATTTAGTTGTTAATTCTATCAAAACACAGATTAACTGTATTTAATATCATTTGGTGTGGTACTCTTGCTTGAGGCCAACTAACGATAGTCAAAAGTTACCACAAACAATTGATTTCTCCTTTTCTCATCCATTTCGAAGATGCCGTGAAAATACTCTTTCGCAGTATCTATATTAAAACTTTACATATTAATACAATTTGAATAAGTACTAAATAAACTAATATAATACGTTGTACATATATTAATATATTTGGTTTCTATTAAAATCGGACAAATTTTGTAATACCAGTAGCGCTTATTACAAAACTTAATTAAGCATTATTGGCGTCTAAAATACTATGGCAATTTCTTACGTTTCTCCAGAATGGTTCCTTTTTTTATTAATGAGTGCCATAAGCTTGCAGCCATCAATCATTTTATCGTTTAATATTTGGTAAATTAAAATCAACTATAGTTTATTTTAAATGGTTGTTGGCAATGAAAAAATGGCAACCAATAAAAAAAAATACTATTTTTTAACGTCTCTCCTGAACGACATAATCGAAAGTTTCGAATGATTTTCGATTGTGGAACGATTTTTAGAATCGAGGGCGAAATAGCCTTTCTCACCCTCTGTCCAAACTTCTGGACACTAAAACACACGGACACATGAACAGACACGCAAACTCTTTATTTTATTATTTTTATTAGTTTATTTCATAGTAGACAATTGATAAAAAATAAATAAAATAAGCTAATTATTTAGAAAGCATAAGTTAATAAAAAATGTTTTAAGACTTCACACACATAACTATTTAACAGTTAATTATTTATGTGTTAAATAGTGAATGATCATATTTTTAAGTAGTTAAAAATCAATTAACAGAATAAAAAAATCACTTTAATTCATGAGTTCATGTGCATAATATTCAGATAATAGTTTAAATCAAGTTGTAAATATGTTTTTCAATGTTACATTTTTATACGTTTGTAATAATTTGCATTTTCGATCAGAATTTTTATTACTTTTGTTCATTTCAGCGCAACTTCAAATTTGCAAATAACTATTGATTGAAACTAATTTTTTTTCAGGAGTAAATTTAGGAGAATTTTGGATCTGTTAATGGATCCTTCACTATCATAGAATAAACTCGACGCAATCAATATTCCGTAAAAAAGAACTCTTCACGGGATCTTTTATCGTACTAATCCTTCAAAAATATTTTACTGGGAAAAAAAACCTTTTACAAATTATTTCATTATAAAAATAGATCCTTCAAAGAGTTTTTTTAATACCGGAGCCTTACTAAAATATTTCTAACACTAAGACATTTCAGAAATTATTTGTGGTCAAAATGGACTCTTTATCATGAAAAAAGAATCTTAATCTTTTGCAAATTATTTTATCTGAATAACTGGTTACACACTTTTCAAAATGTTTGACAATTTAAAAATGAGCCTTTCACTTCTTTAACTTATAATTTTAAAATTAAAACTTCATATAAGACATAATTATTGCATTTTTTGGCAAAAAAAAGAGGATTGCATTTATTCATGTTCTGAAAAAAAAATTCTTCCAGAAAAGTTTTGATTCTGCGCTACTTTTAGATTCAGAAATTATGAGATTTTCCACAATTTTATAAAAGCAGGAACATTTCACAAAAATAATTTAAAATAATCTGGCGAAATTCCTAAAAGTTCTTTATTTTTACAAATCCCCCGAATTCTGAAAAAATTCTTCATGATTTTAGTAGCTTTTCTTTTTCTTTAACGATTTCAGGACGATTAACGATAATAAAATTTTTAAAACAGAAAATTAAAATCACAAAAAAGGACCTCACTCTTACAAATTCTCCGATTTTGAGAAAAAAATTTTCCCGTTTTTTTTTTAAAAAAGAAGGCTAAAACACTGGAATAGAAATCTAAAAATAACAAAAAAGAAAAATATTTTTACAAATTTTTGTCGTATATTTATTTCCTTTGCAGTATATTTATCTTGATTTAAAAAAAAGTGTGGTTTTGGTTCGTTAGAATATTAGGCATTATAGGATCGATGAATAGTTGACCCCAATAGATGTGATTAAGGGAAATCGTCAGGCAGGCGCCCTCAAGTAAAAGGGGATATTACGACACAAAATCATTAATGCCGTCAATGGGAAGGACAGTAGTGATTCAATGTGGGAAATGCCTCAACTCATACTAATGCGTCGTTAACTCTTCAGGGGAATCGTTTTGATGTATCAGTCACTTATAATGAGCCCTGATTAAACGAGATCATTTGCGAACGAAACTTTTAAAGAGCCACCTAGAATATACCGTGCATTTTAGACTAGATACATTATTTTTTTTTCCCCACCAAACAGTATTTAGGAGATAAAGACATTTCAAGACATTTTTAGATTTGATAATAATTATCAGCATTTAGTAGCTTGTATTGGAAGGACTCGGATATGACACTTATACTGGATGTAACGTATAGTCCCCTTTTAAAATGTATTTTCTTAGAATCCTTAATTTTTTTTTAAAAAAAACGATGTACAGTGCGCAAAAATAAACAAAATAACCAGAGTTAATTTTTAGCAATTGTTCGTATTTTCAGGTATTAAGACTCAATTTTAATAGTTTGAGCAGTTGAGTTCAAATAAGCTTATTAGTTAGTGCAGACGATATTTTAAGTTAAGAAACCAGAAGCAAAAACTCCCTTAATAGCCACATATTTTATTCGACAGATTATGAATCCTGACTCCCAAATTATTGTGTGTCGACGCAATCTGGGAGGTACGGTTTCAAGAGTTTGATCAGGAGAGCGTTCAGTAGTTAGGACCCCTTAATGTATTTTATTTTTTTTCGTATTTCGCCATATCTCAAGAACTTGAAATTGAAATTGCGAAATATTTGGAGACAATTATAAAATTTCGTAATCCAAAGACATGCATTCCATGCTAAATATATTTTTTTAATAATATTTATTTTATTAAATAATAGTAGACAGTTCCAGAGAAATCGAATTTTCAATACAAGATTTTTTGAAAATTATATTTCTCAGGAACTATTATGACCAATTTTGCACCAATTTTGTATTTTGTCGTGTAAAAATACCTTCTATAAAAATGATGCAAAAAAATTGTATATCTTGCATTTCGAAATTTTTTAGACCATTATTAAATAAAATATCAGCTAAACGAATTTTATAATTGAGTGCAAAAATTTTAAATTCGCTGAAATTTTTTTTCGAGATAAGGTGAAATACGCAAAAAGTAAAATTAACATTACTTTGGACCGCTTTCCTGACCAAACTAATGGGACCATATTTCACAAATTG